CTTCGCAAAAGAAACACAATTCTGGGGACATGATTTATAAAGTTCAGAACTATAAAGTTAAGTATTTGTATTCTTTTAAGCCACTAAAGTGTACTATATAGTGATCTCAGAGGAAATACAAAGTCAGAGAAAAGAGGTATTGCCTCATTGCATGAAACTTACAGTGATGTTAGAAAGATATGAACCAAATAATCACACACATTTTCATTGAATTATTATGCTTTGAAAGCACATTATCTAATGTTATTAGAAGCAAGTCTTATACTGAGAAAAGGAGAAGAAAAAAGGGTGCTTTAGGCAGAGAAAACAGCATATTAAAAACCTGTAACTGGCAAAAACATGGCCTGAGGCTGAAACAAAGAACTGTGTGACTGAAACAGAGACAGAGGGAGAGGAAGGACAGAATGAGTCTAGAGACCTAGACAGAGGCCAGGCTAAGCAGGTTCTATAGATCCTCTGAGAGATTTCAGCCTTAATCTAAAATCAGAGTGGAGGTGGCATGATTGGATTTGAGTGTGAAAGGATCACTGTGGCTGTTGGGTGGTGCCATGCATGTGCATTAGAGGTAGGACACTGTTTCACTGGCCAATTTAAGGACATTTAGAGTGTAAAATAAAGGTAAAGTGATAAGCAAGATGCAGGATGATGTGAAGTAGAGAAGTCAAGATTACCTCAGGTGAGGCCTTCAGATCTGGCATGTGGTCGGTGATGCCATTCACTGCGATGGAAACATTGGAAAAAACCACTTCTTTCTCACAATCCTACTGGCAGTTTAAATGTTATAGTAAATAGGGACTTCTAAAAATGACTGAATTGTATGCCCTTTTGCTATCTGCATGAAGCAAGTCAAATGCTGATACTTGTGGTAGTTTTGTGTCATTATATCCAACCACACTGACTATTAAAGACATATTTCTTTTGTGTGTGTGTGTGGGGGGGGCAGTCTTGGGGCTTGAACTCTGGGCCTGGGCACTGTCCCTCAGCTCTTCAGCTCAAGGCTAGAATCTACCACTTGAGCCATAGCACCACTTCCGGTTTTTTCTGCTTATGTGGTACTGAGAACTTGAACCCAGGGCCTCATGCATGCAAAGCAAGCCCTCTACCACTGAGCTACCTTCCCAGCCCTAAAGACATATTTCTTAATAGAATTTTCCTGAATTCCATTCATTTAAAATGCAGTTATTTTATGACACCATCTGAATGTGTCATTCTTATAAGCTTAATAATAATAATAATTAGAATAATACACCAGCCTGGCGTCAGTAGCTCATGGCTACTCAAGAGGCTGAGATCTGAGAATCAGGTTTATATTCTGTCTCCAATTAATCAGCAATTGCCAGACTGAAAGTGTTGCTCAAGTAATAGAGCAATAGCCTTAAGCAGAAATGCTGAGGGACAGCCCTCAGGCCCTGAGTTCATTCATGCTGCAAGACCAGTCAATAAATAAGTAAATAAATAAATAAAGCCAAACTAGAAATGCAAGGCTCTTGAGTTCTAGCCCCAGTACCAGAACATACAAGCACAAAAATATACCCCAACTGTTAGAATTATCAGGATTAAACTCACTGTTTATAACCTTGTAATTGTTTATCTCAACTTACCTGCTGTTCCTATAGTAGAGTGTTAGTGCTAGCTGTTAGTGGACCTTAAGAACAAATTATTAACTTTTCAAGGACTTTGTAAGCTGGCTGTTAGTAACTTCAAATTAGCCAAAATGGAAGAACTAATACCAAAATTGGGAGATAATTTTGAATGACACGTCTTTCTGCTACAAATCTTTCTTTCTACAAAGCCTAGTTTATGTTTATGTTTAAAATTTACCACCACACCATTGCTTGGCCTCTTAATAACTGTAACATTCAAGGGGATAATTTAGATACAGAAAATACAGAAATGAGATTCTCTGTAATCTTTCTGATTTAACAATATTGCCTGTGTTATATATTTTCTGTCTTCTTGGGATTGTCCCTATTCAAGTCATTGTTGGATATCTTGAGTATTTCTAAAGAATTTTACTTGTGGGAAATACATTACTTTGAAACATTCTTCAACTGACTGTGTTTTCCTCTTTACTTGATTGCTCAGATTAAGCAATACTATTTGGTAACATGGTAAAATTTTAGTAATTACTAAATCCAGTTCATAGGTACATATTCATTACACTTTCTTTAATTTTATGTGTACTTTAAGCTCTTCATAATTAAAGGAAGATGAAAACAGCAGACTTCCACAGACACAGGTTGGCCAAAATTCTCCTTGCAGGCCTTCCAAGGCCCTTTACAGGCCTATCCCTTCTCACTTGGCTCCTAGGGGTTAACTAATTCCTTACTTTGACTTACTGTTGCAACTCCTACTTTCTTCTTACGGAAGAACTTACAAGCATTGGTAGATTTAAGTGACTTTATAAAGATTAAATGTTCAGAGTGTACCTATTATATTGGACCTAGAGTACTTCACATGAAAGCCATTAATACTGGAAAAGTCTTCAGTAACAAAAGAATCCCCAAGTATGATGAGTGCATCAGCCTCACTCTGAAACTTGCTCGAGCAGACAATCTTGGAATGACTCCAAGCCTCCTGCCCTGGTTTAGTAAATCAGATACCCTGGTAATGAGCCCTACAATCTGTGATTTCATGTATGCTCAATGGGATTCTACTGTATTGCTTGCTTTAAATAAAATACTACATTAAAATATCACAAAGACAGCAACAGCCAGAAGCAACCACCACTCCTAGAACTGCGGCAGCAAAGAAAACCAATGCAATTACTAAAACTGAGAAGACTGAGAAAAGGCCCCACAGAGCTGAAAGTCAGAACAGATCACAGTTTACCAGTGGTATGGGTGTCTGTGTTTAAAGAAGGGACCCTATAGACTAGAGAACCAGATATCCAAGAAAAAGACAAAGCTGGAGCTAGTACCTAGAGCAGAAAGAAAAGTCCCAAACTGCAATCAGTTGCTGCCACTGTACTGAAGGATTATTGGCAGAATGAAACTTAACAAGATCAACCCAGGGACCCAGAGGAAGATGGGTAAGGCCAGGCTCTGGCTTTTAAAACAGTCCTTTTACAAGAACTATTTGAAGCAACAAAAGCACCCCTTGCCCAGTTGATATAATAATCTCCCACTAAATCCGCACCTCCTCTTTTATTTTTTGGTGGGGGGGAAATCATGGGCTTGAACTCTGGGCTTGGGTGCTGTCCCTGAGCTCTTCAGCTCAAGGCGAGCACTCTACCACTTGAACACAGTGCCACTTCTGGTTTTCTGGTGGTTAATTAGAGATAAGAGTCTCACAGACTTTCCTGCCTGGGCTGGCTTTGAACCATGATCCTTGGATCTCAGCCTCCTAAGTAGTTAGCCTCATGAGCCACCGGCACCTGGCATCTCCACTTCTTCAAGACTTCTTCTGCTCACCTAACCCTGAAGACCAAGCTTGCATCACGTGAACCTTTCAAGGGACAAATGATATCAAAACCGTACAAGAGCCGGGTGCCGGTGGCTAACGCCTGTAATCCTAGCTACTCAGGAGGCTGAGATCTGAGGATCTCAATTCAAAGCCAGCCTGGGAAGTGGCGCTGTAGCTCAAGTGGTAGAGCACTAGCCTTGAGCTGAAGAGCTGGGAGACAGTGCTCAGGCCCAGAGTTCAAGCCCCACGACCGACCAAAAAAAAAAAAAAAGTAGAAGAGGATCTGAAGCTTAGACAGTAATTTCATTGTAGTAAGATTTGGGAGATGATAGAAATACACCTTTTGTAGTATGTGTAGTTGCCTACACTTTTGAGGACACTGGCTTCTAGCTATCCTATTGGCCTACACACAATTAATCCTATGTGTTTTTCCTGATGGGATTAGTAAGAGGCATTTAGCATTTAGAGAATTATGAAAGGGCTTATGCAGAAGTTTCCTTAGCTGAGGCCTGGGAGTTTAGCTAAATATAGTTCAGCATGATGGACTAAGGAAAAAAAACTCACAAGGACAGAGCAATTAGAAGCCTGCCTCTTAAAACAGGAGAAAAGCAACTAGAAAACAGATGGAAGTGAACCACCTATTCCTTTCATTTTGTAAATCAGTGGTCTGGTGTCAAGAGCTTCCTCAATGTTGATTCCACAGGGATTGGAAAGTCACTGCTTTCTACATTCTGAAAAGTGGGTTCAGACAGTTTTTTTTTCAGTGCCAATAATAGAGATTGAACCCCACCTGGGTGTGCTGTGCTTTTTCATTCAAGGCTGGCACTCTTTGCCACTTGAACCACAGATTCATTTCCAGAGTTTTGGTAGTTAATTGGAGATAAGATTTTCCTGGGCTTTCTTAACCTAGAGGGCTGGCTTTGAGCTGCAATTTCTAGATCTCAGTGTCCCAGGTAGTTAGGATTATAGGCATAAACCACCAGCATCCAGTCAGACACAATTTTCTTATGTCAATACAAAAGGAAGATGCCCATTATATTAAGCTAACAAATACTTATTGAATGAGTATCAGAAGTATGCCTCTACTTTGAAAGATAAAGAACTATGAGATAAGCCAGAGTAATTAAAATATCATAGAGACAGCAACAGCCAGAAGCAACCACCACTCCTAGAACTGGGGCAGCAAAGAAAAGCAATGAAATTCCTAAAACTGAGAAGACTGAGAGTCAGGCTTCCAAGAACAGATCACTGCTTATCTGGTACTACACGTGTCTGAGTTCAAAGCTAATCCTAGCTACTCAGGAGGCTTGAGATTTGATGATCAATGTTCAAAGCCAGCCCAGGCAGGAAAGTCTGTGAGAATAGTCTTTTCTCCAGTTAACCATAAGAAAACTGGAAGTGGAGCTGTGGCTCAAAGTGGTAGAGCTCTAGCCTTGAGCAAAAATGAGCTCAGAGACAGCACCCAGACCCTAAGTTCAAGTCCCATGATGGACCACAAAAAAAAAGAAAAAAAGAATTATGAGATAGTTGTTACTCTTAATGACCTTTATATATTTCTTATTTTATGTTCATGTTTGGTTATCTTTTTTCTTAAGGCTACTGAAGACTCACAAAACCACACTGGTGAGCCTGGTGGAGATGACTACAAAAAGATGGGAACGCTCTTTGGTGAACTGAACAAAAACCTCCTCAATATGGGCTTCACAAGGATGTACTTTGGAGAACGAATTGTGGAACCTGTAATAGTCATCTTCTTTTGGCTTATGCTGTGGTTCCTTGGCCTGCAAGCCCTTGGACTGGTTGCTGTTCTTTGCCTTGTCATTATTTATGTGCAACAGTAATGAATGAGTTGCTTGGACATTTGGAAGCCATGTATGTAATTGATAGAGTTATACATTTTGGCTTTTTGAAAGCCAAAATATTTAATTTGTTTTTTTGATTGTGTGTTGACTGTTTTGTAACTAAATTTATAAGTGGATGTCATTTAAAATTGAACCAAATTCTTTGTTATATATATATTTTGAATATATATTTTATTCAAAACACTTATTTCACTACTGTGATTTATATTTCACTTTAGACACCTATATCCCCACTCCAAATCTTAAATAACATCACCAACCAATGAACAGGGAAAATAAGTTGGAGTTCACATCAAGCAGTATAGTTCTTATAGAGTTTTAATAAAACATTTTGGGAAAAAAGGAAATGAGCTAAAAATAAGTTTTAGTTGGAAAACTGTTCTACCCTCATCTCCATCAAATAATCCCACATTATGGGGAAATACTTGTCTGTTGTCCCTTGCTCAGCCTGAACCAAGGTAATTTAAATTATAATTTCTACATACTACCTTAATATTGTGGTAAGAATGAATAAAGCGAGCATATTACTAGAGATTGAAAGGAACATATTTATTGCCGGGACGTTCTCAGGTTAAATACAACTTTTCTGTAATGTAACATTCAGGCCTGAGATTTCTTCAGTATATTATTGACATTTAGACAATTTTGGTGCTAATTACTTTTTTGTGGATTTTTTAAAATATCATAAGCCAAGTCCATATTTGGCTTCATCCTAATGTAATACCTATCTTCTTGTATCTAACCACTTGCAGATTTCAGTGTATTTTTTTCAAAAAATATAATTTTATAGTTCTTTTGCAATTATCTCAAGAGTTACAACACTGTATTTCCTATCTTGGCATGGATTCCCCCCAAAAAAATTTTATATTTTATTGTAATTATTTAAAAATCTGATCATCTTTTTTGATAACATAGAAAGTACAGTATTACAGTATAAAATCAGATGCTAAAATTTAGAACTTAAAACCAATTTTAATATTCTAAGATTAAAGCCAAGTCATTAATTGGCTAGCCATGTTATTAATGTTTCTTAACTCAGTTCTGTGGGGTTGTATATTGAAAAGCATTTCTTTAAATATACTTTGAAAACAGAAGTTGGCTTTAGTGACACTTTTTTAGAGGACCTTCAGTCTTTCCACTTTCATCTCAAAGATTATTTGAATAAAGAAGTAGATAATCATCTAGGAATTCAAATTAAAAGCAATGAAAATAGACAGTGGGCATTTTCCTTTGGTAAGGTGCTGCTAACTTAAGCATGTTTACTCTTACCTTTTGTAGAGTTTTACCCAATCCAATTTCACAATTTTATTCTGTGAGTTCTCAGTATCTTTCATCCTGAAACAGAAAATAATGAAAAACATTTAACTTTAATTTCTAAAATCAGATAATCCTAAACAAAAATACTAGTTGGGGGCACAAAAAAGTATACTTTAGTAGACATTGGTATAAGTGTGGGCCTTTTAAAATTTGGGTTTTGGAAACAAAAACTTTGTATTATATCATTGTGTTTTTAATTGGGTTTTGAGAGTTTTTACAGTAACTTTTATGAGCTTAATGTAGGTACAAGTTGTGTGAAAATTTTGCTTTGTATACCATAGAATTGCAAAGTTTTCAGAAGAAGAGATTTTGTATATCTGCATAGAACATTAATAAGTATATTCTTGTCTAATACTATCAGAAATTTAATTTCTCTTTAAAATGCAAAAGATAGTATATATTGTAAGGACTGTGGTTCCAACAGTTGAAAATAAATTGAAATACATTGAAAATACATGAAAAATAAGTCCTAATATTGAAAGTACATTAAAATACCTTGAAAATCAAATACATTGAATTGAAAATTCACTGTTGAAAATAAATTAAATTGAAAATACATTTTGAAAAGTCCTAATATAGTCATGGTTTAGTATACTGTCAATACTATGCATTTCCATGTTGGTATTAATAAGGTATGCATTAAATTATATAAAGAAATAGAGAAGATTTTGCTTTTCTTCTTTCTACATATTTTATTGACTAGTGCAGAATGCCATGAAATATTTTGGTTTGATGTGGCAAAAGAAGACACCAAACTTTGCCAATATGTTTTCTTTTATGAAATATAATAGAATGAAGTCTTCATAGATATCCTTAAAAGGACAAGGTAATTTCTTTTGTTTCCTGGCATAAGAAATTAAATTGAAAACAATCCTCAGTCATTTCATTGCAATTTTAGAAACTCAATGCCTATGAATAAAGAAATCGGAAATTATAATGTTAAGATTATGAGATTATTAATGTATACATCATCCATTCTGTCAGCCCTTGATTCAAAGGATAAAGGTTAATATCTATAAAATAAGCTGAGTATATAGATGGCAAGAGTAAATCAATTTTCCTTAAAATAAAACCTCAGCATATTGTGGAATTAAGTCCTCTAATTTTTTTTGTGTGCCAGTACTGGGCTTTGAACTCAGGGCCTGAGGACTGTCCCTTAGCTTTTCATCCAAGGATAGTACTTTATCACTTGAACAACAGCTCTACTTCTAGTTAATTTGAGATTTTTTTTTTAATGCCATAGACTTTCCTGTCTAGGCTAGGTAGTGACTTATGGAACCATGATCCTCAAATCTTAGTTTCCTGAGTAGCTAGAATTACATGTATGAACCACTGATGCGTGGTTTTCAATCTTCTACTATCTTAAACAGTTAAGTACAAAGGTATTTTTTCATACCTAATTACCAGTCCTAGTATAGTCTACACTATACAGACTACTAGAATAGCCAGCTTGCACTGACATATCCAAAAGCCAATAGTATACTTGATGTGTATGTGTGTATGTGTCTGTGTGTGTCTGTGTCTGTGTGTCAGTTTGTGTCTGCCTATGTACCAGTCCTGGGGCTTGAACTCAGGGCCTGGGCTCTGTCCCTATGCTTTTTCACTCGAGGCTAGTACTCTAACAGCTTGAGCCACAGCTCCATTTCCAGCTTTTTGGTGGTTACATGGAAATAAGAGTGCCAAGGACTTTCTGGTCCAGGTTGGCTTGGAACTGTGATCTTAGATCTCAGCCTTCCTGAGTAACTAGGATTGCAGGCATCGCCACCAGCACCTAGCAGTAGTATACATTTTTTTAATACTTTCAGTGATATTAAGTTGGTGGCTTAAATTGATTATCATGAAAGTATTCATACCACAGAACATTGACCAACCCTACAAATAAAGGATCTTTTTCCTTGAGAGCCACTGCTTAAAAATATATCTGTACACTGATTCATCACCCTAGAGACCACATTCTCATTTCTATTCCTATAGCATATGAAAAGGGAAAAAATTACACATTTTATAAAAGAGAAAAAGAAGGGAGGGAGGAAGGAAGAAAGGCGAAAATTCGGGGAAAAAAAAAAGAGGAAGGAAAAGGGAAAGAAAAGCAAGTAAGCATGTAGGCAGATGTGATGGTACATGCCTGTAATCCCACCTACTCAGAAGATAGAGACTGGAGGAGCTAGGATCAACCCCAGCCCAGCCAAAGCTAGTGTGAGACCCTAGGTATTTGAAAAATAAAAGCTAAAGGATATGGGTATGACTCAAGTAGAATGCTTACCTAGCAAGTGTGAGAGATCCTGCGTTCAATCCCTAGCACTGCCAAATTTAAAAAAAAAAAAAAAAGAAAGTGTATAAAGTAAATCCCCATCTTCCCATCCAAAACTGTATTTGGATCTTTTACACGCTTTCCTGAAACATAGATCTACTTCATCAGATGTTTGGATGAAAAAAACTATCTTGGCTACCATTAAACTGCAGAACCACCAAAACTGTCTAGGCAGTCAAAAAAGAAAAACTGTTACATAACTGTTTGGGTATAAATTATGGCATAAGTGGGGCTGGGAAGGTGGCTCAGTAGTAGAGCACTTGCCTTGCATGCATGAGGCCCTGGGTTCGATTCCTCAGCACCACATAAGCAAAAAGAAAAAAGCCGGAAGTGGTGCTGTGGTTCAAGTGGTAGAGCGCTAGCCTTGAGCTGAAGAGCTGAGGGACAGTGCCCAGGCCCAGAGTTCTGGCCCCACAACCAGACCCCCCCCCAAAAAAAAAAATTATGGCATAAGGAAAATATTACAATATTAAAAAGCTAAAAATAGCTGAAGCTAGACATTGAGCAATTCATGGCTGCCTGGTTTATAGACTATATTTTAACTTATTTTACAAATTTTTGTTTTATTTACAGTGTTTTCATTACCACTTTATGACTTTACAGGGGAAGAAAACAATATCAAATAATATTTTCATGTTTATTGCCTCTAGTAATAGATTTGGCCTATAAGAATATAATATACAAATTAAGGCTTCAGTTAAATTGGTGGATATGGGGGTTTTTTTGGTAACTCTTGTCTCTGCCCCAAACTTAATATTGAATGAGGACAATCCGTCACTGTATATCACCTCAGACCATGTCACATCTGCATCCAGATCTAAGCACTGGTAGAATTAAGATCCATCCATTCAATTGTTTGCCCGGTATTTGCACTGGTTTATTCCATAGTTCCTCAAATTGAGTATGTCCAAAATGGGAGCTCAGCATCTTTCTTCTAAATCTTTACTTTCTGCATTTTCCTTCTCAGCAAATGTCTCGAGACATCTCCCCACACTGTTCAAGTAAGAACTGTAGGTGAGATCTTTAGCTTTTTCTATATGGCCCACATATAACCTGTTACCAAGTCCTCTCTATGTCTACAATTTTCTTTCATCTTTCTATTCTCTTCATTTTCAGCACCACTACCCTAGTGCATACCACTTTCATCTCACCTGGAATGCTACCTGAGAATCCTAATTTCACCTCCTTGCCTTCACTTTCCACTGTAGAGTAACAGTACTATTCTAAAATATGCTCTGATTTCCATGGCATAAATCATTTTACTAACTTCTTACTGCTATTAGGATAAAGCCCTTATTAGGAGTTTTACCAGGCTCTTAAAAGCTTGCATACCTCAGTCTTTCCATACTACCAACTTCCTTTCCTAGACTAACCTGTTTTTTTCCCAGTTCTTTAAAAACAACATGCTATCCTTCTTCCAGAACTTTGTACATGCTTTACCTTCATTAACTTTTCCCAATTAAAGCTATATACAGCCTTAGACATCAGGTACCTGGTTAAGTACTTGGTTCTTATATGAAACCTGTACTTTCCCATCACCCACTTCTCATGCCACATTGTAAAGCAGCATATTTATCAGCTTCTTTTATTAGAGAATAGACCACGAGGGCAGAGTATGTCTGGTATATCCATGAATGCATGAACAATGTCTAACATGAGTGAATGTGGAATAGGTGGTCAAAATAATTTTCAATTGAGGAAATCAACTGCATTGATTTATTTTCTCCCCAAGTCCACTAACAGTCAGTGATAGCATGCTAACCTAGTATACTTAAGAGTCTGGGACAAAAAGAACGTTTAAAAGGCTAGAGTTGGTGGGTTTAGAGTCCTTTGACTTAAAAAAATATATAGCTACTGTGCAAAAAGAGAGCAATTTGAGTCAGGCACCTGTGGCTCACACCTGTAATCCTAGCTACTCCAGCATCTGAGATCTGAGGATTGCAGTTCAAAGCCAGCCTGGACAGGAAAGTCCCTCAGACTCTTATCTCCAATAAACTACTCAGAAAAAAATGGAAGTGGTGCTGTGCAGTTCAAGTGGTGGAGTGCTAGCCTTGAGCACAGAGAGTCTGAGGGACAGAGCCCAGGCCCTGAATTCAAGCCCCAGGGCCAGCAAAAAAAAAAAAAAAAAAGTGATTTGATTTTTACATTATAATTTATAGATTTTGCTGCTTGAAAAATACAGAATTGCTACTAAACACTTATATTTTTAGAAGAAAGTATATTGTCACTGTCATGCTTGATTCATTTGTTCACTATTTTTCCAGATGGGATATTTTATATATGGGCCCTGGTGCTATTAATATTTCACGTTTTTCCAGTGTTATCCAATAGATCAATTTCTACTAAATTTTAATTTTTAAAACTCTGAAGCTATAAAGAGTTCTCAAGTCTCTTAGCTTGTGGTATTTTAGGCTTCAGATACAGCCAAGACCTTGTCTGTTAAATACCAAGTTCATAAAATACTGTTATTCTTCCTAATAAATCATACTTTTTTCAACCCTGCATCCTGAGAGTCTCTTTTGATTCCTTGTGACATGTTCCACCAATCCCATAATTGCTACCATATCAAGTTTAGTGATTGCCAAAACAACAACACACCTACTGTTCAATAAAGCTTGTCTGGTTATCCCTAATGTGGAGCAAAAAGCTACTGTCCGATGTGTATATGGCCTTTGGGGCAGTGTAGATGGAGGAAAATTAAAGTCAACCTATGCCTCTGCCCTTCTTTCTGTTGGTTTGACTCTTGTGTGAGGTTGAATTACTGAATATACATACACCTATATCCCGTATCTATTATTGAAGACTGCTTGTATCCAGAACAGTCATCCATAAGCCTACTACATTTGAGTTGTCTTTTCAACAATTTAAGTCTTTATCATTAAACCCTTCATCAATTTGATTAGATGGAAATTTCAAGTACCACAGAGTACAGTGATTTCTATCATAAAATATTAGGCTAATTTTGTTACTGTTTCCTCTCCATGTTATGAAAGACTAAATGATTGTGCATTATTAATGTGAGGTGTGTGTGTGTGCACGTGTGCGCATGTGTGGTACTGGGGTTTGAACTTGG